TATTTTTATTTTCTAGTTAGTGTACATGCCAAGATAAATATCCATGCAAGTTTGGTTTAAGTAGGACTTATAGTTACTTGGAAATAGACCTTCTCAAAAAAACTTTTAACCTGTTTACTAATCAAGAAAATTTTGGTCAGTTCCAACATCCAAAGCAAGACTGGAAGTTTTCATCCTTAGATGCACCATCTACGCAAGTTTAATCATAATAGGCCATAATATTGTATAGCAACTCCAAAAAAAATACCCTGGTCACTCATCTGGAAAATGTACATTAGATTCAGAATCCAAAGTATGTCTGAAAGTGTCCATCCCTAGATACATCATCCATGTTAATTTTGTGAAAATATGGTTAAAATTCACTCATGTGAAAAATATAGGTCAAATCCAGCATCCGAAGCAGGTTGATTAGTGTACATCCCTAAATGCATCATCCATGTTTGGTCCAGGTAGGGTTTATAGTTACTTGGAAATGGACCTGCTCCAAAGTCTTAACCTGGAAACTCTTGTGGAAAATCTAGCTCACATCCAGCATCCAAAGCAAGTATGGTAGTGTCCATCCCTAGATGCATCATCCATGCAAGTTTGGTCCAGGTAGGGCTTATAGTGACTTGGGAATGGACCTACTTCAAAAACTTTAACCTGCTCACTCATCTAAAAAAAATTGGTCAGATCCAGCATCCAAAGCAAGTATGGTAATGTCATTCCCTAGATGCATCATCCATGCAAGTTTGGTCCAGGTAGGGCTTATAGTGACTTGGGAATGGACCTGCTTCAAAAACTTTAACCTGCTCACTCATCCGGAAAATCTATCTCACATCCAGCACCCAAAGCCAGTGTGGAAGTGTCCATCTCTAGATGCATCATCCATGCAAGTTTGGTCCAGGTAGGGATTACAGTTACTTGGGAATGGACTTGCTCCTAACATTTAACCGGGACGCCGACGCTGACGCCGATGCCAGGGGTATAGCATAAGCTCATCTCAACTTCGTTGAAGTGAGCTAAAAATCAACTTGAAGGATATTAATAATAAAAAACTGTAGTTATCCGACACCATATCTTAGTTCTACAGGGAATCAACCAGGAGTTTTATGTGGAAAGTAATAATGTTGAAACAAGAAGTCTGTGAGCCAATGCTCACTAGTAATACCCCTGCTTTGATGTGAATATACACTCTGATGTGAATGTACACAAGTTCAGTTATGGACAGACAAAGGGATGAACAAGAAGTTGACATCAGATTCTTACAAAAGTGAATCCATATTGCAGGCCTATACAAGGAGTGTTCTAAAATTTCAAGCATCTGCAATCAGTAGTTGCTGAGAAAACTGTGACCAAAAATTGTATGGTATGGACAAATGCATTGAAAAACAGGAAGTTGACATCTGATTTGTACAACAAGAAGCCCAGGGGCCACATTGCTCACCTGAGCACTGTGGCTACGAAAAAAGGAAAAATCAGTTTAGTATTGAAAAGCTTAAATGCATAAGTGGTCCCAACCTACCCCTAAAAGGGAGTGGGGGGTATGATTTGAAAAAAATTTAAATCTACACTAAGGATGCTTACATAATTTTTTGACTAACTGTGACTTTTTTCTCTATAAGCTTGAACTTTCATTGTGGCCCCACCCTACCACTGGAGGTCATGATTTGAACAAACTTGAATCTACACTATCTGAGGATGCTTCTGCATAAATATGACCAACCGTGGCTTTGCTGTTCTTGAGAAGAAGATTTTGAAGATTTTTCCTATATATTCCTATGTAAAACTTTGATCGTCCATTGTGGCCCCTACCTACCCCCGGGGGTCATGATTTGAACAAACTTGAATCTACACCACCTGAGGATGCTTCCTTTTAAATATGACCAATCATAACTTTACTGTTCTTGAGAAGAAGATTTTGAAGATTTTTCCTATATATTCCTATGTAAAACTTTGATCGTCCATTGTGGCCCCACCCTACCCCTGGGTGTCATGATTTTAACAAACTTGAATCTACACCACCTGAGGATGCTTCCTTTTAAATATGATCAATCATAGCTTTGCTGTTCTTGAGAAGAAGATTTTTAAAGATTTTTCCTATATACTCTATGAAAACTTTGATGTCCATTGTGGCCCCACCCTACCCCTGGGGTCAGGATTTGAACAAATTTGAATCTACACCACCTGCAGATGCTTCCATTTAAATTTGACCAAACATGGCTTTGCTGATTTTGAGAAGAAGATTTTTGAAGATTTTTCCTAGCATGTACACCTAATTTGTTAACTTTGATCGTCCATTTTGGCCCAACCCTACCCCTGGGGGTCATGAATTGAACAAATTTGAATCTATACCACCTGAGGATGCTTCCATACAAACATGACCAATCATAGCTTTGCTGTTCTTGAGAAGATTTTTTAAGATTTTTCCTATATATTCCTATGTAAAACTTTGATCGTCCATTGTGGCTCCACCCTATCCCTGGGGGTCATGATTTGAACAAACTTGAATCTACACCACCTGAGGATGCTTCCATATAAATATGACCAATCATAGCTTTGCTATTCTTGAGAAGAAGATTTTTTAAGATTTTTCCTATATATTCCATTGTAAAACTTTGATCGTCCATTATGGCCCCACCCTATCCCTGGGGGTCATGATTTGTATAAATTTGAATCTACACTACCTGACAATAATTCCACATGAGTTTCATCTTTCCTGGCCCATTGCTTCTTGAGAAGAAGATTTTTCAATAATGCCATTAATTTTTTGCTATTTCATAATTATCTCCCCTTGGAGGAGGGTGTGGCCCTTCATTTGAACAAACTTGAATCCCCTTCACCCAAGGATACTTTGTGCGAAGTTTGATTGAAATTGGCCCAGTAGTTCTGGAGAAGAAGATGAAAATGTGAAAAGTTTACGACAACAACGCCGATGACAACGGACAAATTTCGATCAGAAAAGCTCACTTGAGCCTTCGGCTCAGGTGAGCTAAAAAATAAATCCCAGCATAAGGCATGCCTAAACAAAGAGTGTGCTAAAATTTCAAGCATCTGCAATGAGAAGATGCTGAGAAAACTGTGACAAAAATTTGTTAAGTATGGTATGGACAGATGCACGGATAAACAGGAAGTTGACATTGGATTGGTACAAAAATAAATCCCACCATATGGCATGCCTAAACAAAAAGTGTGCTAAAATTTCAAGCATCTGCAATCAGTAGTTGCTGAGAAAACTGCGACAAAAATTTGTTATGTATGGTACGGACAGACATACAGATAAACAGGAAGTTGACATCGGATTCATACAAAAATTGATCCCACCATATGGCATGCCTCAACAAAGTATGTGCTAATATTTCAAGCATCTGCAATCAGTAGTTGCTGAGAAAACTGTGATGAAAAAGGATGACTGCACTTAATGCCTGTTTTTGGGTCTTTTTCGATTGCTTCTGTTGCTTTTATATCTAAACCTTATTTCACTTTTGTATGTTTATGAAAGAATCCTGACAATTTGGAACCAAATTTAAATCTTAAAATGATTTTAGACTGTGATACAATAAAATGATTAAATGTTTTTTTTGTCCTTACTGCTTTCCAAATATAGTGAATTTACACTTGCCTGCCCTTGATTGAACATTAGATATGCATGAGAGGTGGAGCTAATATTGTAAGAATGGGTCTAAAATTAGACTTGATAAATAACAATGACATGTTTCCTGAGGTAAGAAATCACGTGGTGAATTATAATATTCAACATGTCACAATCCTTGGTTACAACACAGAGAGTGAATGTAAGAAGAAGCAGTTTTTTTCTCTTTTTAACCATGAGCGCATGTTTGTCTATTAATCTCCTTTTGACACATTATTATTCATGCAAATATACAAATACTGTTAAACGTAGAACAATAGACAAACATGCGCTGACTATGTATAAAGTCAGTAAAAAAGTGGGTGTCCTCATTATCGAACGGAGATCCAAGAAATTGTGATGACCCCTGCCTTTGAAAACAGATTCAAACTTCGCAAATACACACTTTTATTAAACGTAATTACATAAAGTTGTAGATTAGATGTTGACCATTCATGCAATGAAAAGAAAAATGCTTGTTTTGAAAGTTTATTTTGTCGCAAATTTCTCATGTCCTTAAGTGCAGTCATCCTTTGTTACAGTCAGACAGACAGACAGCTGGACACACAGACAGACAGACAGACACACAAGGGTAAAACAGTATACCCCCACTCTCCTTCGGACGGGGGTATAAAAAAGCTGTGTTTTTCCGAATTCAAATTCATTTAATATTTTGTTTTTCTTTAAAATTAAGATAAAAGGGAATTACAGAAGAATGATGTTAAAAAAAAACGCAACATTAAATTTGGCTTAAATATGAATGTCTTTTGTTGTGATTGCCAAAAGAGCAATTAGGATCAGGAAATTTGAGGTGAAGAATATCCAGAAATGTACCTTCAAAATGTGGATCATTCAACAGATGAAAAGAAAATAAGCCTTTGAAGAAAATTATGTCAAATGCATCAATTGAATATTTCAATCGCATATCATTTTTGTTTCACCTATGTTTACAATATGTGAAAAAAATGTTCAAAACATATGTTTAACCATGATGGTTTGGCACATGTATGGTATTATATTATGAGCAGTGCATTTAACAAACGTGTTAAATGCATGTTTCTCAAAATGTGCGTTACAAACACATTGCAACGTACGTTATTCATACGTGATCTGTATGAATAATGTATGTGTGCAACATATGGTAGTCAATATGTATGTTTAACGTATGTGTCACGCATGACATTTATACGTGTGATTATGAACATTTAAAGTACATGGTGTTTTTTTCATGTGATACGTACTTGAAGTCACATATGAATCACATACGTTTAATATATGTGGCACATTCTGCTGTGATATATTGCTTTAGTTTTGCATCATTTTCATATTACATTATAATGTTTATAATATGATTAGTTGTGTAAATAAATCAATTAATTGTAATTCACAGCTAATATAAATTAAGCATGCTAAGGAATCTACCTCCAAGCATTTGCAGTGTCGTCTTAACAGCAAGCCAGGCATCTTCTGTAAAGAATTGTTTGGCACAATCTTGCAATTTCTTATTCAAAAGTAGACTTTTGCTTTGCATCAAAGTTTCTGGCCTCACAGCTACATCCTCCTCCTGTATTTGCTTTGAAAAATCCAGCAACTGACAAAATGGAATGTCCTCTGCTACTAGGCCTATAAATTCTGTAATATTGGATATGTAGATACCAAAAGCTAATTTACATACCAGTTACATACCATTTGTTCATAAAAATGTGACCGATATAAAAAAAAAAATTTTTCCAAGTTTAAAAGTTTATTTCTGAAGATTTCTGTACACTCATGTACAGTTCATTATTTTCACACATTTATAATTTATCTCTTATATGAACATGATGAATTACAATAAGTAGTAGTAAGAAGAAAAATTATACCATCACTCCTCAAAAAATCACTTGTCAGTTACTTTTTTTTTTTTACTCAATCATCTAAAATAACTTCTTTATCCTGTACATACCTTCTAGAGCATCAAGATCAACATCAGTGATATTTTGATCCTGCAAATTTAAGGTACCTGAAAGATTAAAAAAAAATTATTTCATATATATGAGAACAACATATCAATACAATTTACTTTACATTAAATCTTGTTCATTTTTAAATTGGATTTTTTTTCTACATCAATAAAAGTGCTTAATTGCATACTGTGGAATTGTGGAATCATCACTGTTCGTGGTGGACTAATGTTTGTGAATTTACATTCATATGAACATCTATTTTTAAATTACAAACATATTGATTCTTTGTAGCAACCATATAAACCAGTAACCCTTGAAATTACATCCGTACGAACAAGTAAAATTTTGCTTGCCCATGAACACTGACCCCCCCACAAATTAAAATGTTCTATAGTATTTTAAATCCTGATTTCTTTAATTGCTTTTGATAACCACCATTTGCCAATTCATTTAACTTCATTGCAACTAAAATGCTCATCTGTAGATGTTAAGTATACTGTTTAATTTTTATTTGTCAATTTTAAGCACAAAGATAATATCATATGATAATACAGTAAAACTTGTCTAATTCAGACACCACTGGTTCCATAGAAATTGGCCGGATTAGACAATGTCCCAGATTAAACAACATTTTTTTTTAACAATTGAATTTATTCAAAGGAACTTGAAATTGAGAAAATATTAGGCTAGATTTCAGAATACACAACATTAGGATTAGATAAGTTTCACTGATTTAGTAAATAATGAAATACCTTCACAATCCTCCATCATATCCACTTGTTGAAGAACCCGTCCAACATGTGTAATTTCCCTCAGTGCTGGGGGGCATTGATAAATATTTTCATTAATTTTTTCGGAGTGTCCCATATGTTTGTAGAATATCTCTCGATCTCTTGGGGCAACATCCAATGCAGCATACTCTGTTGCAATAAAGTGACGCATCCCAGTGGCATTAAGGCTGCGTTGAAGTCCTGCTTCTTGACACATTCTGTGTACGCAATCCCATCCTATCACATGACTCATAGAGGTTTTTGTATTTGGAAAAACAAACTCATTCCTTTGATTGACTCCTGCTGTTTTTCTAACTTCATCATCTGTTATGATATTTAGTGCCTTCCAACAATCTTTAGGGATTATAACAGGTACAAGTCTTGCAACTTTTGAGGCATGAATGTATGCAATTTTTGTTTCACCAAAAAGCTGTCTTTCAGTTTCAAACTGCAAATTTTCTTTCTTGTACTGGTCAATCCATTTGTCATTCAAGGCATCAGATAACTCTGATAACAGCATCCTGCTTGGTTCTCCTCCTCTCCGTGCATTAAATATGGTAAGTCTGCAAACAAGTGCATCCCTCAGTTTGCAAAACTCTGCATTCTCATACAAAGAATATCCATCACCAGTCAATTTTTTAATTAACTGCTTTGTGTAATCCCTGAGCTTAAAAAGATCATGTCTAACAGGAAGGTTAATAGGTGCTCTTAATTCAGCCTGACGTTGTGTTGCAACTGATTCCTCTGCATTTTTGAAAAATGAAGGCCAAAGTTGACGAGAAATCACTACAAATTTTCCCAATTCTGCTGCCAAATCATCTTCCCCTTCAATTAGATAACTTGCCTGCATCACCTCACAGACATCATTTAAAAGATATTTAAGATTCACTTTCAATGAGTTTTTTACTTTTTTTGCATTTTCATCCACAGTCATCTTCAGTATTGCTTCTTGTAGCTCAACAATATGGTTTCTACTGAACATCTCACTGCAGCTTTTAACTTGTCTCTTTCTTTTCTCTTCAAAAATCTTTTTAAATGCCAAGAAAAGATGAGCCAGCCTTCTCAACTTTGAATTCAAAGATAATCTTTTCTCCACTTTCTTAATGCTCCCTTGAATATTTTGATACAAATGGAAACCATATCTTTTTATCCAATCATCCTTTCGTATTAATGCCCCATAGTCAGTATCTCTAAAGCTCTCCAAAATCTCTTGTGTATATTCTTTAGGATATTTATCATCTTCAGTCAAGCATCTCATAGAGAGTGATAATGGTGAAACTGCTGAACCTTCAGCTGCCACACAAGTTCTTTTGTGCTTATATATGACTTTAGCGTTGAAAAACCCTTTACACACTGAGCACATTTTCAATGAGGACGGATTACCTTGATTTCTTTCTCTAATAAGTTTTGATACCTCAAGATCCCCACTTTTTATCATTTCACTGTTAGCCTTGAAAATACCCTCTTTTTTCATTTCATCAAATGCTCTATTCCTCAAGTGTTTAGGTAATTGTAATGCATTTTTAACTTGTTCTTCATTTTTATGCTTAGCTTTCAGATGGTCAGTTAATCGGCCTTTCATCTCACCACAGAAAGGGCAAGGTCTTTTGGGTTTGGCACTTTTAGCAGAATTGTTTTTAGCTGGTTCTAAATATGTTCAAAAGAAATTACATCTTTTAATTTATTTACGTTTTTTTACTTTCATTTGATTTGATTAAATATACAAGCAAAGTCAGAGAATTGTGTCAGGGTCTTTTGAAAAGTTGGTCAAAAGTAGCTTAGGTGAGTTAAATAGTTCTTGAGAATTTGGTACATGTATATAAAATAGAAGCTTGCATTATAATTATTTCAAATCAAGGTTCAACATATTTTATAAAAAAAAAACCCAGAAGACTTTTGAAATTCTAACCTTTCTGCAAAGGTGTCATTGGGGCAGGAATTTCAGAATCATGGTCACTTTCTCCTGGTGAGTAAGCTTTGACAGGTGGAATGTTCACTATTTAATAAACAAAAAAAAACATTGAAAATATATATACATGTAAAACAATTATTTAGCAAAGCATTTATTACTGAACAGGTTTTGTGGATGAAATATATCTTTGTACAAGAGGCCCAAGGGCCTTAACGGTCACCTGAGTATAATACAACAATTTAGAAGTTAAATACACTGATAGTTGAAGCTTTGTTGCCCTAAAGCAAGAGAAGTAGGAAGATCAGGATCAACAAAATAATTAGTCTAGTATTCAGTATCAACTCATAAATTAAGTTCTAATCTGTCCCCCACTTAATACTATGCAGACTATTAACAAACTATTAGTGCTTCTGTACTATTTATAACCCATACTAAGACCTCTAGCATTGACCTCTCTTATGGTCTTTGAAGAACTTTTAATAAGATAAGTTATTTTTGTCTCATTTTTATTTATCCATAACTTACAGGTCTACCTGTTTATTAAAACTAAGAAAGTACTTTTTTAATTATACGATAAACATTCTTGCATAATTATCTTATTCTATTAACCTTTCAAATACATTATTTACAGTGATTAATTATCAAAGGTGAATGGAAAAGGGGAATAACTTCTCTCAGTAGAATACAAATTAATAGAGCCCTGCCCAGGACCAGAATGCTTAGACCAATGGTTCAGATGTTTAAAAATCTGGTAGAAATACGCTTACTCATATCATTTAAAACTTTTACTCAGTTTTCTTCCAATATGTCCAGAAGCAGAGAAGAATTTCACAGGTACAATGCATTTTCACTACAGATTCAACAAAGCCTTACCCTAACACCAGAACCCAAGACCAAGGGTCAAGAAATTTACAAATTTGGAAGAGTTACCCTCATCATCATAACTATGGACTTCAAAGAATTAACACTTTTCCACTATATTATCAAAAGCCGCCGACCCCCCCCCCCCTTCGTTATGCCAGAACCCCTGACCCTAGGACCACAAGATTTAAAAATTCTGTTCGAAGCTCCCATTTTCATCATAGCTAAGCAATTTATTTATCAGCTCAACACAAAGGAGCAGACAGGATTAATTAATGATTAATAGAATTAATGCTTTTTCACTATATAATCTATAGAGCCCCCCCCCCCCCCAAGAACCCCAAAAACTGAGGCCATATATTTAAAAATTTTGGAAGAGGCATCCTTGCCTATCATAATCATGCACTTAGTTTGTTTATATAATCTCCAGTAGCAGAGAAGAAGATTTTCAAAGAATCAATGCATTTTCACTATATAATCAATAGAGCCCCGCCCTAACACCAGAACCCCTGACCCAGGGGCCAAGAAATTCACAATTTTTGAAAAGGCATCCTTATGCATCATAACCATGTACTTAGTTTGTTTAAATAATACCCAGGAGCAGAGAAGAAGATTTTCAAAGAATTAAAGCATTTTCACTATATAATCAATAGAGCCCCGCCCTAACACCAGAACCCCTGTCCCAGGGGCCATGGCTTTCAAAATTCTGGAAGAGGCCCACCTCCTCATCATAACTATGTACTTAGTTTATCACCTTAATGCGCAGGAGCAGAGGGGAAGATTTTCAAAGAATTAATGCATTTTCACCATATAGTCGATAGAGCCCCGCCCTAACACCAGAACCCCTGACCCTGGGGCCATGAAATTCACAATTATGGAAGAGGGACTCTTGCTCATCATAACTATGTACTTAGTTACTTTATTTAATATCCAGTAGCAGAGAAGAAGATTTTCAAAGAATTAATGCATTTTCACTATATAATCTATAGAGCCCTGCCCTAACACCAGAACCCCTGACCCTGGGGCCATGAAATTCACAATTTTTGAAAAGGCACTTTTGCTCATCATAACTATGTACTTAGTTACTTTATTTAATACCCAGGAGCAAAGAAGAAGATTTTCAAAGAATTAATGCTTTTTCACTATATAATCTATAGAGCCCCACCCTAACACCAGAACCCCTGACCCTGGGGCCATGAATTTCACAATTTTGGAAGAGGCACTCTTGTTCATCATAACTATGTACTTAGTTCCTTTATTTAATACCCAGGAGCAGAGAAGAAGATTTTCAAAGAAATAATGCATTTTCACTATATATAATCAATAGAGCCCCACCCTAACACCAGAACCCCTGACCCTGGGACCATGAATTTCACAATTTTGGAAGAGGCACTCTTGCTCATCATAACTATGTACTTAGTAACTTTATTTAATACCCAGGAGCAGAGAAGAAGATTTTCAAAGAAATAATGCACTTTCACTATATGATCTATATAGCCCCACCCTGGGGCCAGAACCCCTGACCCTGGGGCCATGAATTTCACAATTTTGGAAGAGGCACTCTTGTTCATCATAACTATGTACTTAGTTCCTTTATTTAATACCCAGGAGCAGAGAAGAAGATTTTCAAAGAAATAATGCATTTTCACTATATATAATCAATAGAGCCCCACCCTAACACCAGAACCCCTGACCCTGGGACCATGAATTTCACAATTTTGGAAGAGGCACTCTTGCTCATCATAACTATGTACTTAGTAACTTTATTTAATAACCAGGAGCAGAGAAGAAGATTTTCAAAGAAATAATGCACTTTCACTATATGATCTATATAGCCCCACCCTGGGGCCAGAACCCCTGACCCTGGGGCCATGAATTTCACAATTTTGATAGAGGGCTCCATGCTTATTACAATGATGCCAACAGTTTGACTGCTTGATGTCCAGGAGTAAAGAAGAAGATTTTTAAAGATTGCATTATTTTTGGTGGTTTTAGCCCCACCCCTCAGGCCCCAGGGGGGCAGGGATCATGAAATTCACAATTTTTGTTCCCCTTCACCCATAGATGCTATATGCCAAAATTGGTTGAAATTGGTTCAGTGGTTCCAGAGAAGAAGCTAAAAATGTTCAAAAGTTTACGACCGATTGACGACGAATGACGAACGACGACAGACAAAAACAGATAGCAATAGGTCACCTGAGTGACTCAGGTGACCTAAAAATCTTGTCCCTGTAACAAAAGACTCTTAATAACCTAAGTTCAAGGGACCTTTGTAAAACTGAGAGAAATCAAGTTGGAGTTTTCAAGAGTACAACAAATTTTGGTTGCTTGACTGACTGAAAAATTCATTTATTCTTAATTATACACATGATTTTTGACAATGACATTCCTTTGAATTATTTGAGTAAAACAGGGTTCTTTTTAGGAATATGTATAATCCATATTGTGCTCACACCCTAACCCCAAAGGGACCATAGTCTGGTCAATTTAGAATAAACACTACTTCATTTAACTGTCGCATAGGTTTCAGCTTTTCTTGACCAATGGTTCTCCATGGCCTTAGGGGCATGCCCCCCCCCCCCCCCCATCATTTTGCCGATAAATAGAATACTATAGAAAACACTCTACTATATGCTTGTTCCCACTCAATAAAAATGTCTGATGACCTTTTTTTTCTCCTTGTCAAGGATATTTTGGTAGTTGATAGTGCTCACAACTGAAAATATATGGCTGTGCCCCCCAAACTGAAATTGCTTCCTACAGGCCTGTTCTCAACATGCTCAAGATGAAGATTCTTAAGGATTTTTCCTTTACATTTCAATGTAAAATTTTGGATCCCTATTGTGGCCTCACTCTAACCCCTGGGGTCATGATTTGAACAATTTAGAATCTACACTACCTCAGGAAGCTTCAATTAAGTTTTTAGCTTTTCTGGCCAAATTAATCTTGAGAAGATTTTTTCATGGTCCAACACTTTTTTTTTTATTATCTCCCCTTTAGAAAAGACTTGGCACTATTACTTAAAAATTAAGAATCCCATTTACACAAGGATGCTAGGTATCAAATTTGATTAAAATTGGCCCTGTAGTTCTTGAAAAGAAGTTACAGATGGATGGACGAATAGACAGACAGACAAACAATGGGTAATCAGAAAAGCTCACTTGAACTTTCAGCTCAAAAGAGCTAAAAATATATTGCTCTCCTAAAGCGATGCAGCCATTCAATAATGCTGATATACAGGGTGTTTCAAAATGTCTATCCCCATTACAAACTGGAATAGAATTCAGCATATTAGTTTATTTACTTAGGTTTCAATATTCATCAATTATTTTCTTTTTCTTAGATTTTTTCATTATATATTATTTTTAAGTTTTATTTTAGAGGAACTGAGATTCAATTCTACAAGTGATAATCCAACTTTGTCCATAACTCCCTTTCTAAAGAGAAAATTCTTCAAAATCAAATGTCAGTTTTGAATATTTTCAATATTCCCAACAACCAAAAAGAATTTGAATTACCATATCTATAATGGATTCCGAAACTTCATAAAAATCCTTACAAACAAAGATACATAGCAGGTTCCAGTAAATTTTCCAACAAGCCTCTTTCTTTACTCTTTACTAAAATATTAACAGTAGTGATGGAGAAACTTCAGGAGTACTGTGCAACAATATATTTAAGAAGTGGTGTAAATCAGATGTGGATACTTAAAAATTCTAAGGAAATTGTAAATTTGTTGAAGTTTTGCTTCATTTAAACTTGGGTCGAAATATTTTTACACAACCAGTCGGCCCAGTGGTTCTTGAGAAGAAGATTTTTAAAGATTTTTCCTATATATTTCAATGTAAAACTTGGATTCCCTATTGTGGCCCCGCCCTACCCCCGGGGTCATGATTTTAACAATTTAGAATCTACACTACCCAAGGATGCTTCCACATAAGTTTCAGCTTTTCTGGCACAGTGGTTCTTGAGAAGAAGATTTTTAAAGATTTTTCCTATATATTTCAATGTAAAAATTGGATTCCCTATTGTGGCCCCGCCCTACCCCCGGGGGTCATGATTTTAACAATTTAGAATCTACACTACCCAAGGATGCTTCCACATAAGTTTCAGCTTTTCTGGCCCAGTGCTTCTTGAGAAGAAGATTTTTTAATGACCCTCCCTATTTTTGTCTTTTCTTGATTATCTCCCCTTTTAAGGGGACTTGGCCCTTCATTTTAACAATTTAAACTCCCCTTCACCCAGGGATACTTTGTACCAAGTTTGGTTAAAATTGGCCCAGTGGTTCTTGAGAAGAAGTTGAAAATGTGAAAAGTTTACGGACGGACCGACAGACGGACAGATGGACGGACGACAGACAACGGGTGATCAGAAAAGCTCACTTGAGCTTTCAGCTCAGGTGAGCTAAAAATGAAAACTGGCTAACAAAGTATTGAAGTCCTATCTCTGCTGAACATTTTGATGTATGATATGTCTATGTTTTTTTCAAGAAATCTGAATTAAATTGATTAAACAAATGCACCCCAACTCAGGCAAAAATATTCAGCTCAGAGCACTAACACTGTGTATTTTATATAGCACTACTAGGGTTAACAATGGTTATTACCATTATCATGCCGATACGATATATCCCGGTGAGCTTGAAATAAAAGATACCACAGAGTCTGACACATCCCATATCTGTTTCATATTTGGATATTTTACTACAAAAAGACATTAATGGTAATCTAAAAACTAAGCTTTAAGATAAACGTGATGACTTCGATCATAAACTTCCCTTACTTATGCAGCAATATACCTTCATCACCTACATACAGGGTTTATATCTCTCAGTTGATTCGATACTCTAGAGCATGCTCTACATATGTACAAAACGAGGTAAATTATTAAATTGACAAACAAGTCGATGAAACAAGAAAATCAGCAGTCTATTTAAAGTTATAATTTCGTAAGTTCTATGGTCGATACAATGACCTTGTCAACAAATTTCTATCTTTAAGTCAAATGCTGACTAACGTTTTTCATACTAATTGTTAGGCCATTATTTACCACTGAATTGTCAACAAATTTTTCCATTATTTCCCGATCATGACAAGGAACACACGGCGGGTGTGACCAGTCCGCAGGGAGAGCTCAATCCTCCATGACACCTGATCCCACCTCTGATGTTTTAGAGGTCCATGTTTCCTCTGCTCCAAAATTTGTATTGTTTAATGGACTTTTGAGCTTGAATACTGTTTGTTATCTTCATATATTTCATTTCACAATGCATTAATTATAGTAACCATATTAAACTATAAGCATATGGGCCACAATGCTTGCCTGAATCACTTTAACCATGCTGTTCTTTATCAGATTTGTTTCTCCATATATACATGTATCATCATGAAAAAAAAATTAATTGCCTTTGGTAGTCCCACCCTCTACACAAAGGCCATAATTTTTAACAAAATTGAATCTACACTGCCAGAGGATACTATTATATAAATATGACTAATCATCCCTCTGCTGTTTTTGATTGATTGTATGTAGTTTTACGTCCCATTCGAGAATTTTTCATTCATATAGAGACGTCACCATATACTGGTGAAGGGCTTCAAATTTAGACCTTTACTCGGCACTCAGGGCCATTGAGCAGTGAGGGATCTTTATTGTGTCAACATCTGAAATGACACTGGGCCTCGGTTTTTATGGTCTCATCCAAAGGACCTGCAACTTTCACTTCAAAGTGCCAAGCGCATGGTGAAGGAACAGTTGCTACCCATTTTTTATCGACTAAGGTCAGTCGTGGCCGAGATTGGAAATCACGACCTCCCAATCAAGGAGCGATTGCTCTACCGACTGAGCTACCATGAACGATCGGCTGTTCTTGAAAAGAAGGTTGTTATAATATATTCCAATGTAAAACTATGATAAACTAAAATGGCCCCACCCTGATCCTGGCAACCATGATTTGAACAAACTTGAATCTACACTACCTAAGGATATATATAAATGTTTTGCTGTTTTTGTGGAGATTTGAAAAGTTTTCCCCTACATATTTTTTTGACAATTTTAAAATTGCCAAATGAACCCCATCCAATCCAAGGGAAATGAGTGGGTGGGATCATGTTCAAGTTTTAAATGGCAATTGTAATAGGGACAAATAATATGAAACATCCTGTACACAGATTAGAAAGGATGAAAGAAAGACTTACATAAATCTTCTGAGGTTTCCTGTCTCTCATCATGCATATCTGTTGGTGTAGAACATGTGACCTCAGGAACAGTGGAGTCTTCAGCATAATTCATCAAACTTTTCCATAATATATTTACTAATATTGGGTAAATATCAATTTGTTCATTCCTGCCTGCAGAGATATGCTTAAGATAAGCTACCATCTCTGAGGAATCTCTAAAATGAAAAAGACCTGCAAGTCCGTTTGCATCAATGAAGCCATTTTGGTTTCGTGCATGTGGGTCGAAAATAGAATACTTTTGATGCCCAGTGCATAAGATTGCTATGCTTGAGCCAAACATTCTGAGAATAAAACTTTGGTTTGGTTTGTTAACCAAAGCAGATGTTACCAAAGTGTCAATATATGAAGAATATCCAAATGAACCTTCTTCAAGAACTCCAACACTTGCTTTTATACCAGTCATGCCAATTCGACACTGAATTGTATCCGGTATCTCATCAATATCAAGCCTTGATTCATATCTGTTGAATGGCCAGCCTTTCTTCTGAAGAATATCTAAATGAAGTTGATCACCTCCAACAAGAACTTCGTCTATGAAATCAGAGTTCCAGTCATTTACAGCTCTCAGGGCTGCTGCTACAATAGCTGTAACGCAGATGCTAGTGCACTGACTGCCAGCAGCTGCATGTTTAAACTGTTGTGGTGTACATTGGTGAAAATGTCCCATCACAGCCACCATATTTCTAGTTTCATCTTCCTGTCTACTCTGTTGAAATGTTATAAAATACTATTATATTATTATTGATACTATTTTGAATTGTTTTTAATTACTTTGAATTCAATTGATCATACCTTCAAAATTATAAATTATAAACTAGAAGTGTCAGGTTGTCAACATAAATGCTCCTACTTACATGTACATTTTATTTATGTACAAGGGAGTTCAAAATTACTGCTTTATTGCAAAAAATTCTAACTCATTACCAATACTTTTCTTCTAAATTATGGGAGCTCATTACCACTACATCTTATCAAAAAGACAACTCATTACCTCTACATACTGGAATCTGCCAGCGATGGCACAGTATACGAGTTCAATTCAATGTAAGTCATTTTAAACAAATTAGAAGTTGGGTAGGTAGGTAGGTAAATAATTTTTTTTTCCTGACAGCAGCTTTAAAAATACACTCTGATTTTCTGATAAGAACGGGTTTTCATGACATTGTATTTTATAAAAGTTGATAAACATAAAAAAAAATATTGGAATAATCTTCTTAAAAAAACTTTTCAGTCGGCGGGATTTAATTGGGTCGTTCACGTTAGGGGAAACAAAGGTATTTTTTATTTTGGCCTAAACATGTTGTACTTAATATCTTTACCAAGAATGTGAAAATAATGGATGAAAATGACAGAAAAATAAAACATCATACTGTTCCTTTTTTTGATATCTGGAATAACATGTCTACATCACAACATACTTAAGATACATAAATTTGTGACCCCTTACAAGTAAAATAATATTTAAGTCCAAAAACAATGCAAAATAAAAAAAAATTAAGGGTCATAACTTCTGTAAGAATTGGACAATTAACATGAAACTCATAGTTGTTATGCAAGTCATCAATACAGAGAGATTGATTGATTGTTTGCCTCTTGAGAATTTTTCACTCATACAGAGACGACACCACTTGCAGGTGGAGGGCTACAAATTTTTGACCTATACTTGGCACTCTGGGCCATTGAGCATTGAGGGATCTTTTTCGTGTCAGCACCTACTGCAATACGGGACCTCGGTTTACATAGTCTCATCCGAAGGACTGGTCTCCACATCCTGCAGTGGGATTCCAACCCGGACGTAAGGATCAACTCCTTACTCCGTGACTCTAGAGCAGAAGCTCTAACCACTGTGCCACATGGGCTACCAAAGAGACAAATCAAGGCCCCCCAAAATAGGTCAATCATGACAAAACTCTAACTTGATGGGTAGGTTGTCATAATCAAGAGACTTAAGACCAGAAGTCTCTGATGAGACTGTAGCTCTACTGGTCTGTACATATAACAAAGTAGCACTTGGATTTGAGACTTTGCAACATGCAACAATAAATAGAATTGTGTATCTTAATGTAGTCTTCTTCTGTGCCAAGTTATACTGAAATCAAACGAAAACTGTAGGAGGAGTAGCTTTTGAAAGTATTTCACAGAAATTTCTATTTTTAGTAACCATGACAACACCATTCACTGACATCAAAACCGAAATACATATTATGTATCGTAGTGTATTCTAACTGAGTGTCAAATTAGACTGAACTCAGACCAAAACTGTAGGAGGAGTAACGTTTTAAAGGAATTTCACAGACATTAAAATATTTAGTAACCATGGCAACAGCGTTCATCAAAATCAAAAACCGATGCAACAAAAAATGTATCTTAATATAGTCTTTTTGTATGCCAAGTTATATTAAAATCAGAACAAAATTGTAGGAGGAGAAGTATTTTTATTGAATTTCACAGAAATTTCTATTTTTAGTAACCATGGCAACACCGTTCATTGAAATAAAAAAATCGATGCATTTAATTATGTATCTTCGTGTAGTCTACTTGTGTGCCAAGTTATATTGAAATCAGACCAAAACTGTAGGAGGAGTAGCGTTTTAAATAAATTTCACAGAAATTTCTATTTTTAGTAACCATGGCAACACCGTTCATTGAAATAAAAAAAAAACAACGATGCACTAAATTATGTATCTTAGTGTAGTCTACTTGTGTATCAAGTTATATTGAAATCGGACCAAAACTGTAGGAGGAGTAGCATTTTGAAAAATTGTTTACAGACAGACAGACAGACGGATGCATAAGCTCTTCTGGTCTCTGACCAGTAGAACTAAAAAATTAGCTCTTTCTCAACAAGCACAGGAAGATGTCCTAAAGGCAGTAAATTATTAGTAATTTTCAAAGTTAAAAGGCCTAAATTTTCTTAAAAATTAGTCACTCATCAAGAAATTTAAACCTGATCTGTAAGTTATCAATAATGAGACATAAAAAACCAGAAGTCTCTGATGAGACTGTAGCTCTACTGGTCTGTACATATACATGTAAGAAAGAAAAAGTAGCACTTGGATTTGAAACTTTGCAACATGCAGCAATAAATAGAATTATGTATCTTTAGTTAATAAAGTCTACATGTACTTGTGTGCCATGTTAAATTGAAATCAAATAAAAACTGGAGGAGAAGTATTTTTATTGAATTTCACAGAAATTTCTATTTTTAGTAACCATGGCAACACCGTTCATTGAAATAAAAAAATCGATGCATTTAATTATGTATCTTCGTGTAGTCTACTTGTGTGCCAAGTTATATTGAAATCAGACCAAAACTGTGGGAGGAGTAGCATTTTATAGGAATCTCACAGAAATTTCTATTTTTAGTAACCATGGTAACATTGTTCATCAAAATAAAAAAGCAATGCACTAGATTATGTATCTTAGTGTAGTCTACTTGTGTGCCAAGTTATATTGAAATCAGACCAAAACTGTAGGAGGAGTAGCGTTTTAAAGGAATTTCACAGAAATTTCTATATTTAGTAACCATGGTAACATCGTTCATTGAAGTCAAAAACCGATGCACTAAGTCATGTATCTTAGTGTAATCTACTTATGTGCCAAGTTGTACTGAAATCAGACCAAAACTGTAGGAGGAGTAGCGTTTAAAAGGAATTTCACAGAAATTTCTATTTTTAGTAACCATGGCAACACTGTTCATCGAAATCAAAAACCGATGCACTAAATTATGTATCTTAGTGTAGTCTACTTGTGTGACAAGTTATATTGAAATCAGACCAAAACTGTAGGAGGAGTATTGTTTAAAAGGAATTTCACAGAAATTTCTATTTTTAGTAACCATGGCAACACCACTCACCCAAATCAAGAACCGATGCACTAAATTATGTATCTTAGTGTAGTCTACTTGTGTGCCAAATCATACTGAAATCAGACCAAAACTGTAGGAGGAGTAGCGTTTTAAAGGAATTTCACAGAAATTTCTATTTTTAGTAACCATGGTAACATCGTTCATTGAAATCAAAAACCGATGCACTGAATTATGTATCTTAGTGTAGTCTACTTGTGTGCCAAGTTAGATTGAAATCAGACCAAAACTGTAGGAGGAGTAGCATTTTGAAAAATTGTTTACAGACAGATGGACAGACTGACAGACAGACAGCTAGACAGACAGACGCCGGACACCTTACCATCACATTAGCTCTTCTGGTCTCTGACCAGTAGAGCTAAAAACCAGAGCCCCATCCAAGCACCAGAATCCCTGACCCTGGGGCCATGAATTTCACAATTTAGGCAAAGGGCTCAATGCTTTTTACAATCATGCCAACAGTTTGTTTGATGTCCAGGAGTAGAGAAGATTTTTAAAGATTGCATTAATTTTATTGGTTTTGGCCCCACCCCTCAGGTCCAAGGGGGCAGGAGCCAAGAGTTTCATAATTTTGTTCCCCTTCACACATAGGTGCTATATGCCAAATTTGGTTGAAATTGGTTCACTGATTCCAGAGGAGAATATGAAAATGTTCAAAAGTTTACGACCGATGAATGAGAACTGATGAAAAGAGATAGCAATAGGTCACCTTAATGACATACGTGACCTAAAAAGAATGATTTAAATTATTGAATTGATAAAAGTCATGGTTTAGCTAAAAGTTTCGAAAAACTGCATCAAACTTCAAGGTCAAAGTGACGAGGTCTAATATGAAAAAAAATATTGAATTTCAGAAACCTCTTGCAAAAAATTAATGCTCTTAAAACCAGAAGTCTCTGATGAGACTGTAGCTCTACTGGTTTGTACTTATAACAAAGGAAAAGAAAAGTAGCACTTGGATTTGAAACTTTGCAAAAACAATAAATGGAATTATGTATCTTAGCATAGTCTACTTGTGTACCAAGTTATTGAAATCAGACCAAAACTGTAGGAGGAGAAGCATTTTGAAAGTATTTCACAGAAATTTCTAATTTAAGTAACCATGGCAACAGCATTCACCAAAATAAACAAGAGGCCCATGGGCCACATCGCTCACCTGAGCACACTGGCTAAGAAGAAGCAGAAATCAGTTCAGTATATTGAAAACTTTTAAAGGGGGGGGGGGGGGGGGAGGGGCAAACTTAAATTTACACTACCTCAGGATGCTCCAATATCAATATTACTAACCATGGGTTTGCTGTTCTTAAACAGAAGAATTTTAAAGATTTTTTTCCCATGTATTCCTATGTAAAACTCTGATTGGTCATTGTGGCCCCTCCCTACCCATGGTAAACTTAAACAAATTTGAATCTCCAATACCTGAGGATGCTTCTATAATAATATGACTAATCATGGCTTTGCTGTTCTTGAGCAAATTTTTCAAGATGATTCAAGATATTCTTATGCAAAACTTTGACCCTCTGTTGTGCCCCAACCCCTGGGGGATCATGATTTGAACAAACTTGATTCTACAATACCTAAGGTTGCTTCTGTATACATATGAGTTGACTAATAATGGCTTAGTTGTTCTTGAGAAGATTTAAAAGATATTTCCTATGTACACTGTAACATGTATGATCAGATTCTTACAAGGGATATATAGGTTTTCCTTTTACTCTGAGTTAATGATTGGAATGATTATTAAGACAGCTATGTCTGAGGGTATATCACATAGTACTTAAATTTTCTCTTATCTAGAGATGGGGACTGGGTAAGGTACTCCTTGCACCGTGTTTCTATTC